TTTTCACAATAATATTTTTTTCACATATATGACACATGTTCTTTGAAGATTTTTGTTTATTTATGTAATAAGGTTCATGTATGACACGCTTTTTATGACACCTGCTGACACATTTTATAACGTACTATAAGTTTTTACACAAATATTTATTATATATACACTGTTTCACGATTGCTTGACACGGAGGTGACACCATATGATCCCTACCGTTATCTAATTTCCTGAAGGGCATTTAGCGCTGTACACTTCATTACACCATTTATTCTGTAGGCTTTTCGCCTTTTTGGTTTTAGAAATTTTAGCTCTGGGGTCATATTAATATCAATTTTAAATTTTAATCCATCTTAATTTAGTTTTACTATTTCCATTAGCGCAAGTTAGTTTGGTTCACAATATCATCGATTAGTTGTTGCAGCTGTAGAGCTGTCCCATGGCCCATTTTATTTGAGGCTAAACTTTCACTTTAAGCATTTAGGGAGACCTTCGTTTTCCAAAAATCCTGCATATAGTGTTTTTAGGAGTAGATTTCTCCCACCCCATTGCCACTACGTGCTCCCTTCAAGAAGGAGTTCTTAGAGTGACAGTGATCTCTATTTAAATCTATGTGAAGCTGCATCGATATACAATTGGGGGGATTTATCAAAACCTACAGCAGTTGCCCATGGCAACTAGTGATGAGCTCGGGCGTGTTCGCAAGCGACTCGTGCCGAGCCCGCCAGGAAGCCGTCAGCGCGCAGGGCCAATCACAGGCACTGAGACATGTTCCTGGTCCACAGCTGCAGAGATCGGAAAATGTCTCAGTGCCTGTGATTGGCTCTGCGCCCTGACGGCTTCCTGGCGGGCTCGGCACGAGGCGCTTGCGGACACGCCCCAGCTCATCACTCATGGCAACCAATCAGCATCTCTCTTCAGTTCGCTCAGGTAAGCTTTGAAAATGAGAAAGAGAGAGGCTGATTGGTTGCCATGCACAGCTGCTCCATATTTTGTCTGCTCCAAGTTTGATAAATTCCCCCCCGAATGAGTTTTATGAAGACCATCGTCCTTCTGTGAGGGTAGGCATATGGAAGCTGTCATTGCTGAATTGGTTTGGTAGAGTTGCAGCCACGGGGCTGTCATGATCCTTGCTTCATTATTCAGTGACTCACATACCTGGTCATTAACATGCTTTTCAGGATTAGTGTCTGAGAAATTATTTAAAGCCAAAGACGTCAACAAGACTACTATTTTTAGAAGGAGGACTGCAATGGCAGCCTTCATATTCCACTCAGTACAGTGAAATTCTTCATTTTTACACCCTTAGATTTCATTTTTTCCAGTCGTATTTTGATCTGTCGATGTAAAAGAACTGTTTGACTTCACCGTGATGAGCAGTAGAGGGCACTCATGTATAATCTTTTTCTTTTTGAACCTGTATTTCTGAACAGGAGCTAACGATGTCTCAGAAAAGTGGTGGAAATCTACTGCAGATGATGTATGAAAAGCCGGAACGCTGGTCCTTCACGTTTCAGTCCTATGCTTGTCTCAGCCGCATACGTGCCCAACTAAAAGCCTTTAATGGCAAATTAAGGGAAGCAGAAAATCCTGTGCTGTTTTTTGAGCGTTCTGTCTACAGTGACAGGTACACAAAACATGTTGATTAAAGGGTTACTACATCCAAATCTGATATCTTAGTAGATGCAGGAAAGGTGTGTGTTTGTTTTTTGTTTTTTTTCTGTCTCTTGGGGACTTAAGTGGAAAAAGCACTGTACTTGAGTTCCCAAGCCTGCACCCCTGCCAGGGCGACTAACATGGGATCTTAATCCCTTTATTGAATTCTTAATATAATTCTATTATTGGGAATGATTCAGGAGCTGCTGAAAGAACCGTGTTACCAACAGAGCAGATTTGCTCCATGAGTACCTGACTTTAGCCAGCTAGACTGCTTCTCTCACTTTAAAGCAGACTGATATGTTAAATGTTAGATAATATATATATATATATTATAGTATATTCACTTTAATTCTGAACACCATGGAGATATATAGGCGCACAAACTGTGCTGTTTCTGTCTTGCTAAATAACCTTAATCTTTCTTTCAGGTACATCTTTGCTTCCAATCTGTATGAGGCAGAATGTCTGAATGAAACAGAATGGACGGTGTATCAGGACTGGCATGATTGGATGAATTCACAGTTCTGTGCTGATCTTGAATTAGATGGCATTATTTATCTTCGAGCTGCACCTGAGGTAAATGGAGACTGAATTCACAGCACAAACTAGACTTGGAATTTGAAGGGGATCAGTCACAAAGGTGACTGGTTCTCTGACTACCAGCCATGATAAACCTTGAAGGGTAGCTTAAGATGCAGCAGCTTTACTACCATAAAAATAGTTTGTAGCCTGTGAGTCAGAAAAAAATGGATAAAGTCAAATTGACAGCCATGTTGAGTTGTGGCTGCTATAAGTGGAATATGCTGCATGTAGCAACCACATTGCGTAGAAAAAGCTAGTAAGTGACCATTACATATACTTCTACGTAAGGGATATGCTAAGTTGTGACTACATTGCTAGAACATGACCAACCGGTATAGAATATGCCGGGATGCGACTATTCTGCTTTACTATGGCCACCAAGTGTGAGCTATGCTACGATGTGACTACTCTGCTGGAATAGGACTACCAGGTAGGCCATATGTTGGAATGTGACTACTACTTGAGCATGACCACCAGGTGTAGATTATGTTGGCATGTGACTACTGTATGGGAACAAAGACCACCAGGTGTTGGGTATGCTAGGATGTGACTATTCTGTTGGAACATGACCACCAGGTGTACCATATGCTGGGATGTTAATATTCTGCTGTAATATAACCACGGGGTAGGCGATATGCTGGGGTGAGGCTACTCTGCTTGAACATGACTACCAGCTTTGAGATCTGTTGGGATGTGAACATGACCACCAAGTTTGGGATATGCTAGGATGTGACTACTCTGCTGGAACATGACCTCCTTGTAGTGAGTATGCTTGGAAGTCTCAGCCATTTGTAGTGGTACCTGTATGCCCTCTACTTCTAAGAGCAGCTCCCATGTGGCTGTAAAGTCTGCCAGTGTAGCTTCTTTAAGAGTATTAATTAGGGATGCACCGCTACTGGTATGGATACCGGTGCTGGTACCGAGTATTTGGGGCGGGTACTCGTACTCGACCAAATGCTCCGATACTTACCACGAAGGAACTTCCAGTCAGAGGGAGATTCCCTCTGACCGGCAGTGCTGCAAAGAGCATGGAGCTCCCGGCCAATCAGGAAGCCAGGCAGCAGATCATAACTCGCCTCCCGGCTTACTGATTGACTAGGAAGTCTGCTTGTCTTGTTGCTAGTCAACCTGGCTTCTTGGCCAATCAGGAAGCCGGGTGGCACATCATGTTCTGCCACCCGGCTCCCTGATAAGCCAGGCCAACGGGATATCACTATTCGATGTCGACAAAGAGTACCGAAAAAAAATTATTGGTACTCTGTGCCAAAAAACTGTATCGGTGCATCCCTAGTATTAATGTTTAATTTCTTGAATTTAGAAATCTCCATCTTACTTTATTTATCACTGGCACATGTATGTATTACTATTTAAGAATGTAAGCTACAATACATCAGTAACGTGTTTCCTTTGTTTACAGAAATGTCTGAACAGGATTCATACCCGTGGAAGGGACGAAGAACAAGGAATTCCAATGGAATACCTAGAAAAACTTCATTACAAGCACGAGAGCTGGCTTCATCACAGGACCATGAAGTTAGTTCCCTGCACTTTTTTAACACTATAAAATTGTAGTGTGCCGCACTGGATGAAAATTTGATGTTAACAAACCTTACTGACCATGTGGTTAGGATACTTAAGTCGTTTACTGTTTAAAGTAGGGGTAGGTAAACTCTGGCCCTCCAGCTGTGGTGAAACATGGATCTGCCTCTGGCATTCATTTCTGTTGTTGTCAGTCTTGGAATGCCTACTAAGATTTGTACTTGCACCACAGCTGGAGGGCCAAAGTTTTCCTACCCCTGGTTTAAAGCATGCAAGCAGCTAGATTGCACATCTTGGCAGTTGGACAGAAGTGGCCAGATTCCAGGAAACAAGTAATCAGTACACCTACGAAGGTTGAACTAGATATCCATTGATGTTTGTGAAGGCATGTAATCCTATGCCCATTACTAATTCCTGTTGGCTTCTGTGTTGAGCTTTTTGGCTCCTGCAATATTTCTTTTACTCATCTGAATAGTACCATCACATACTCTGTAGGAAACATTCACCTCAACTCCTGTTTTTAAACAAGTTTACAATCTAATGTCCCTGTCATATACATAAGAACATACAGAAAAGCCAATCCGTGTACCATCATGTTTGTATAAGAAAACCAGACCAATATGGTGACAATTTGCAAACCTTATGCACACAGTATCCTTGCCAGTAATATAATTGTAGACTTTAGTGCTGTAAGATAATGCTAAGTGTTTACATATAATACCCCCAAATTAAAAGTCTGACTTTTTTAGTTTTGGATAGAGATGGGAAAGGTTAGATCCTCTGTCACCATTTTATTTATTCTCCTTCTTGGGCCATTTTGTTTACTTTCTACCCTAGGGAGCACATCACGAGGGGCACAATCTCCCCACTGGGCACATTGATGGCAATAAGTACCTGACAGAAGCTGTGTCCCTTATCTTCTACAGCCAAAACCTAAAAAATAGTTTTGCATTGAGTTTTACTTTAATTTGTCCAGCTCTGTATTTTGGCATGACCCTGTAGTTTGGTACCAATTTCTAACAGGGTTGTTCACATAAAGGGTGAAGAGTTTGGAGAAGTGAACAATCTAGTGCAACATAGCTGAACTGGAAAGTGAGCTGAATTGGTGAATTTTTCCAAATCATCTATGTTGGCCTAGATTGGTCACTTCTCCTGCCTTCTCCAAACTCTTCACCCTTTTGTGAATAACCCTGTAAGACTTGTTTATGAACAGTACATAAAGCGATGGTGTGATGTGACAAACTTCAACCCATCAGAGTTTCTTTTCCCGCTTCAATTACTTTAGGCTGCCAAAAGCAGTTTTGTGATTTGCCATGAGTTGTCGCCTACCACTACACTTGGCACTATCGCACAGATGAAGCTAATGATGCTTAAGTCACAACTCTAGCTGATGAGTCTGAATTGTTTCCTTTCAGGACGGATTTTGCATATCTGCAAGACGTACCCATCTTGACACTCGATGTGAATGAAGATTTTAAACATGATAAGCAGAAGCAGGAATGCATGATTGAAAAGGTGTGCTACAACTTCGGTGGTTTGTTCTGTTTATTTTTTATCTGATGGTGGCAGTCTTCCTCTAAGCCACGCTGTAATTTTAAAGTAATTTCTATTTATTGGTTTCAAAGTCTGCTGCGGTTTTCTTGCGTCAGCCAAGCCTCATCAAGTACTTTTCCTGTTATCGGATGCCCTCTTGTGATCCCTCTATACCATCCAGTCTATTAAGCAATGTGATGCATTTTCTCAGAAAATGTTACAATGGAAATTTCCTCTGCTTATTATCTGTGTGAATATACATTCTTTAGGTTTTACCAGTATACTTTATGGATTTTGTACATGTTCACAGATATCTTGATAATTATTTCCCTCCATAAGAGCATATCCTTTACCTACAATTCTATTTAAGTATGAAGAGTCTTTTTATCTCCTTATGTGTGAATAGCAGCCTGTCGTAACTGTTGCTGTTAGTCTGTAGGGGGTTATTAAGCAGTGATGTGCACTCATGTTCCCCTAGTGCTAATCTGTTCTGAACAATGGATAGCTTAAACCAGTCACAGTGACTTACCATTGTTTGCACTCGGATGCATGCACACCATTGAGCCCCTTGTGTGTAATACAGCCTGTATTTTCCATTCAAGTAAATACAGTTTATATGCATACATATATCCTTGTTTCACAGCACATTCTTAAAGTGACACTAAACTTAAGAGTTAAACCTTAAAAATGCATTCAAGTATATTAACTATTAACAAAAATTTATTTTATTTGTGTATCACTCAGCTGTAGACCCTCAAATCATCTCTGAATTGGTGCTGACACTGTCCTTCCTTCTGGAGGGTGACTACTTTTGTTCCCCATGGTCCCTGTGTGTCTTGTAAAGTAGCCACCATTCCAAGCTCGCTCCTGTGACAGACTACAATCTCATGTTTAGTGTACTAATTTGTATTGAGATTGTAGTACATCACCGTAGTGAGCTTGGCTACTTTACAGCACACACAGTGACCATGGGGAACAAAAGTAGCCCCCCTCCAGAAGGAAGGACAGTGTCCACACCCACTCAGAGATGATTTGAGCATCTAGAGCCGAGTGATACACAAATAAGATACATTTTTGTTAATAGTTAAAATACTTGAATGCAATTTTAAGATTTTATTCCTTTAGGAATGTGCTGTAAAGCACAAAAATCTGTGTTAAAAAAAACAAAAAACTATTTACTTGAATGGAAAGTATGGACTGCCTAACAAGGGATCCCCCCCAAAGCTAAATGGTGTAGATAAAGGTATCCCTGCTGACAGCAATTGTATTCAGCAGCCACTGAATATCTGATTGGATGCAGACACTGTAAGGCCAAGAATTCTAAATTCCGACTCCTTTGAAAAAAGTCAGCTGGACCAGGTGGTACCGACAGGGTCAAAGTTAGGGCTGTGTATTGCCAGCTTTAGTGTATATGTGCGGCCCTTCATCTGTAATCCTGCACAGTCAGATTGCAAATGTCTGAGACCGGTTTTTACCTGTAAACAGATAGAATGCCGCTGTCTGAATACCCGAACGCCTGACAATTTTCCCGGAATGTCCCTTCAATGAAAATCAATCTAATCAGACTTCCTTTTGTCGAAGGTTTAGGGCCCCTCATGGGTCAGATTTCAGCTGTCTTTGTGAATTGGCTGAAATTCGATTTGTGTGTACCCAGCTTAAAAGGCCACTAGTATATTTTTGTCCTGGTTCCTGCTGGCTTTTGTGTTTCCTCCATACATAGCCATGCAGAAAAAGACTACATATTACGCAGTTTGCCAAATGTGTAATGCAAAGCTTACATTTATATATGTAAATACTATAATAGAATGTGTGTGTGTATATATATATATATATATATATATGATAATGTACACACAAGGTAAGCAACATCGGCACTCCAGCTGGGGTGAAACTACAAATCATACCATGCCTGTGGCTGCCGGAGCCCTGCAATGCATCATGGGACTTGTAGGAATGCTGAGGTTGCCTACCCCTGATGTACCCCCTTCTCTAAAGGCTGTGACACACACCGCACGCGGGTGCCTTCACGAGCAGTGTGTCAAGTCATTTTCTCTCCGGCACATCAGCTTGCGAGAGCTCACATAGCTGAGCGTGCCGAGATGAAAAATGTCATCCTCAGCCAATCAGCTTGAGCGTATAAACTCGTGCGTCATGATGCGAACTCCATCCGGTTGTTACATGCAAGCTGATGGGCTGAAGATGCAGTCATTTATTTGCTCACACACTGCATGCAAAGCGCCATGCCTGACAGCTTTGCTTCGATCTGCACGGCTTTGCATGCAGGGTGTCAATAAGTGCATTTATGAAAGTCCTTGAAACAGGCAACTGTTTATATCCAGCTGTGGTGGAACTACGAATCCCATGAGGCTTTGCAAGATTCTCACAGCCACAGATATGACTCCAGGAGAGAGATGCTTCATGGGATTTGTAGTTTCACCACAGCTGGAGGGCCGGAGTTTGGCCATGCCTGGTTTATATGTTACGTTGCATGCTAAAGTAGATCTGCAGTCAGAGCTTTTTGTTTTTGGAGCGAGGAAGGATTGGAAATTCTGTCAGGTTTGGCTGTCTTTTTGTTTTGTGGATACAAAGCATGAATGCTTCCCGGCAGTTCCAATCCTTCCACACTCCAATAATATACAATAAATGAATTAAGTCTGCAGAGAGATTCATTAAGCATAGTATTAAAGTCATTGTATTTCTTTCATCCTCGGGTAACAAAAGTGTTTTGTTTTATTTACAGGTTAAAGAGTTTTTAAGCACTTTATAACATTGTGAAGACTCGTGTTACTCGCCTTATTAGAAGACTGAAAACCTTCCTCCTTTTTCTTTTTGTAAACTCTCTGTAGGTATTGTAAGGTGTATGGGCAGCTTCAATCTCCTTCAGATATACCAAAAATTATGTAATGGCTTCCTAGATTTGATTTTAACTGGACTGTTAACGTCTGCCTTGCAGCACTGGGGGGCTATGTTCAAGTCTTGATCAGGACACTATCTGCATGGAGTTTGCATGTTCTCCCTGTGTTTTTGAGTGGGTTTCCTTGGGGAATCCAGTTTTCCGCTCACTCTACAGACAGGCTGCTCTTGTCTAAATTGGCCCTAGTATGTGTATGTATGCTTATGAGATGGGTACCTTAGATTGTAAGCTCCTTGAGGGACTGATGTGAATGAGTGAGTGGTATGTAAAGGGCTGCGTAAACGGATGGCGTTATATAAATGTCTAATGAATAGATGGGGAGGCCCTCGCATAAAAAAAGGGGATTGTACCCTGTATAGCCAGCTTTAAGGAGTTTTGCTTCATCACATTATGCTTTGGGTTTTTTTTTATTAATGGCATTCAATTTAGTTACGACTGGTGATTGGTATGTATTTCTGTTTTGTGTATATATTTTAATTTAAAACAAAAGCTCTTAAATTGACTTTTTCCTGTCATTTATTTAATTCAGTACATATGTATTTGTCATCTCATTTAATATCGATAACACTGGAGACTTCAACAAATAGTGTTGACAAATGCCGCAGTATACAGCTCCCTTGTTGGCTGGCTAGGCTGCTTGTCTCCAGAACCCTGCAGGGTGTTGTTATATCTTACCAGCTTTCCACATTGACCTCTGTATCCAGGGTGCTTTTTATTTCCTTATAGTAGAGGTCCAGAAGTCTATTGAAATGGCAATTATTTTCACTCGAGTTCAATCCGATTAGTTTCTGTTGGAAATCAGGGTGCAGGAATAAGCATGGGAACCCTGAGAAAGAATTTGGAGCAGGACGCAGAATGATCAACTCCCGTCTTCAAGAGTTAGGATCCATTCACTTATTTATTTCAGAATTCTCTGTTGAGCAGAAAGCTTCAGTGGTATGACCACTCTTCCTTTTACATAAGCCTTGCCCGTCTGTACTGAATACACATCTAAGTAACATGTGTTTCTAGGAACATGTATTTGCAGCATATTTATATTCAAGTTTCATGTACCTTACACTGCACTGATCTGTGTTTTTAGTAGATTTAAAAAAATATATATTTTCATTCATTTTATTATCTTGCATCAATCAGTTGTATATAGATGTAGAAAGGATTGGAGTAGAACCAACTCCAAGACTGTTAAAGGGAATATGCCAGTAGAAAAGTACAGGACCTGCCATTGCTGACTGTTCCAGTGTTGTCATCCACATCCTTGCTTTACTGCTTAAAGAGTCACTGAAATGGAAAAGGTATGCAGGACCATATGGACTGCACTAGCTGCAAACGTGTTCCAGATGGTGAAACAAGGATTAGGATGACAGTCCTGGAGAGTAATCGTGTAAAGAGCACCTGTCAATAGAGAAATATGGGGACTCCAATTGCTGATCTCCCTTTAAGAATGTCAGTTGCCCGGTTAGCTCTGATTTTCAATATCAGTCACTCGCCCACAACAGGCATGCAGCAAATAAAAAGGAGCAATGTCGGAAGAATTTACCTCTGTACTAGTGCTAGATTAGTGACTCAGACAATACCAAATAGCCAAAGCTTCTGTAATACTGTCAGGACCAACATTTTAGAGGGTGAGGTCAGGGTTGCACATATTTGATTGCATATATTTGAAAATCAGCAGTGGTGTCTGTTATGTTTCTGTACTGACAGGATCCCTTGAAATGGTCTGAAACTGTTGTGTGTGACTTTTGATTGTGCTTATACAACATTGTGTTTTTAATAAAATGTATTAAAAAAAAACACTTCTTTTGTGATTTCTGTATTTATTGTAATGGTCAGTGTGTGTGTGTGTGTGTGTGTGTGTGTGTGTGTGTTTGGTAATACTTGCATGGTTCTCGCTTTGTGGTTCTGCATACCTATACATTTATCAGTCCTAATTTGAAGAGGCCAGTTGTAAAGACTAGTATGTGTCTCAGTGTCCCAGCCTCCTTATGACTAATAACACAGTAAAAACAATGAAGCGCCACTAACTATCAGTCCTCACTGTGAAATCTTCTCAGGCATACTGCAGGGTGCTGTCCCAAAGAAGCCGGGAAAGCTGGGAATCTGGAAAGTAAACACAAAGGGAGCGCCTTTCCCAGTGCAGATCAATTTAATTTCAATAAGCATGAAGTAAAAAGGAGATGAAATGGTACTCACAAACATGAGTGTTACACAGGCATGGAATGGGAGCTGACATGCAGTAAGGCATCCACTAGACAATTCCTGTGTGTAATGACGTTGACGCGTTTCCGGGGCACGCCCCCTTCATCAAAACATTTAGTTGTCCTCCTCTCTAACTATAAAGTCCGTGTGGCCAATCAGGGGCGAGCCATATAGGCTCGTCATAAGGTCCTCCGTAGCACGGTCTTCCTGACTCCGGTCACGGCAGTGTCAGCAGTAGGCTTATGACGAGCCTATATGGCTCGCCCCTGATTGGCCACACGGACTTTATAGTTAGAGAGGAGGAGGACAACTAAATGTTCTGATGAAGGGGGCGTGCCCTGGAAACGCGTCAACGTCATCACACACAGGAATTGTCTAGTGGATGCCTTACTGCATGTCAGCTCCCATTCCATGCCTGTGTAACACTCATGTTTGTGAGTACCATTTCATCTCCTTTTTATTTCATGCTTATTGAAATTAAATTGATCTGCACTAGGAAAGGCGCTCCCTTTGTGTTTACTTTCCTTATGACTAATGCTCGCTATAAACATATCTAAACCCAAAAATAAAAAAATGTAATACATTACAGCTTACCTTAGATGTGGTGGCTGCATTGTTTGGTTTTTCTTTTTAGCTCCTCCTCTGTTGACTCAGCAGAAAGTAAGAGGAGATCTCTCCAAAGCAAGGAATACGACCTCTTAAGTAAACTAAATTTTCCCCAATCCACGCTGTTTAGCCATTCCCTGTGCTATAGCTTACTAGAACACACAAGCGTGGCTCCATAAGACCCTTCAAGGAGCAGCATCCATTGTAAGTTGTTTATTCAGCATTTTAAAAGAGCTTAAAAACCATTTGACTTTAATATCACTTTAATGTTTATATTGCTCTTGGTGTACTTTTACCTTTTGCATAACGCCGCTAAACGTGTTGGCTGCTGATAAAGATATTTCTAGTGAACTTGGTTAAGGGTTCTTTTCCCAAGGTTGTTGTAATTTAAAGGTTATCATGCTAGTAACCAAATAAACCAAGACATTTTACTGGTTTTCAGAGCTTTTTATAAATATCCGGTTAGACCTGATTTTGTTAGCTTGAAAAACAAAGTGAATTGGTGTTAGAGACCTCATGTCTCTTTATATGGTCTAGTGCTGAATACACTTCCAGGGCTGTCTAATCATTTCATTCCTCACTGTTATTTGCATATTGTATTGAAGAAACTACTATATAATACAATGGCTAAGACCTTATCCTAAGCAGATGGACATCTTTTCTTCAGCTCTGCTGTGTCGAAGACTAACCTATTTTTGCAAGCACCTTTTATTCTTACTATTCAAGACCTTTTCCCTGAATCAATACTCTTCTCTACACTGCTGCAAGAGCTGGTCTCTCCAATTGCAGCTATGTGTGTGTAACCGTCCTCAGCCAGGCTTTTGAAGGACCCTGCTGGCTTGGGCATTGAGGGGATAGCTGGGAAGTGACCTTTGGGCACTGGGTTACATGTGGAGTGCTATCCATACTCTTGGTTCTGGTAAAAAAAAAAAAAAATGTTAGCCAGGAAGTGTTTTCCAGGTCCAGAGCTGCTGGCATTGCCCTCAGTGCATGCCCTGTCTCTGAAGACTCACTTTGCGAATTGGCTGTGTGGGCTGAGCAGCAGAAGCTACCTCAAGTACATAGGTCACTGACCATCTTTAACCACCTCCCGTCCATGGCCGTTTGTGAACGGACAGGAGTCTGCTAGGAGCGGGAGGGCGTCTGGGACCTGCACGGCTACGCTCTAACAGCAGATCAAAGGGAGATCAGTACTCGATCGCCCTTTGATCTCTTTTCCTATCCCCGAATGCTCTCTGGGGGTCCCTAGGTGACATCAGAGGTCTTGGAGACCCCTGATGTCTCCATAAAGAGGACCTGTTTGGTGAACTGGCTATCACATAGGGGATTTCTTAGACCCCTATGTGATAGCAATAAAGTTATGTCTAAATTTTTTTAAAGCATAAAAAAAAAAAATGAAGCTAACAAAAATATTCACAAATAATGAAAAAAAAAAAGAATAACACAAATATATGTTTTAAAGTCCCCCACCCCCCACATACACACGCAAACATGCGTCGAGTGCGCTTATGTACGAAAACGACGATTGCGCCTATTATGCCGCACATGTTGCATATCGCCGCGAATGTCGGAATGAGAGCAATAATTTTAGGGCCATCAATCACTGATAACACTAAACTGATGAGCAGTAAACACTTTTAAAGCGTCGCCTATGGCCAATTTTGGTTGTGGTCGTTTTCTGCGATTTCGCGGGCATGTGCAATTTTAAAGCTTGACATGTGTGGTATCCATTTACCCGACGTGACCCCGTCTTTTATATTTTACCCAAAAATTGGGGTGATAATAAATGTTTCACAGCATTTTATAGGGAAACATGTTTTTTTTCAAAATTTAGGGTACTTTTTTTTGTTTTATAGTAAAAAATAAAAAAAACCCCAGTGGTGATTAAATATCACCAAAAGAAAGCTCTATCTGTCCCCAGAAAATGGTATGAAATTCGTTTCAGTACAGCGTTGCATGACGGAATAAACGTCAGTCAAAGTACCGCAGCGCTGGATACTGAAAAATGGCCTTGCCAGGAAGGGGGTGAAATACCATGGTCTTCAAGTGGTTAATAATACCCATTCCCT